GGAGTGATCCTTAAGCACAGAGACAGGAGTGACACCAGACTATCACTGGGTGTGACTCCAAAACAAACCACAAAAAGGGGTAGCACCCCAACAGTTCCCTAAAGACTTAAGAAATCAAAAGTAACATTACCTGCTGGAAAAAATCCCAACTGAGAGATATAAAAACATAAATTGCATATATTGATACTCGCTTAAATTGGAGAAATCTGGACCGTGCAATAAAACAGAACACTTTAAAAATTAATAACAATAATGGCTCCAGGCTAGACAGATTACCTCCAACTCTCTCATCCTCTTGCAGTTTCTAATATCAGGTTTTGTCAGCTGATTTGCCATCATATACTGGACGGAAGAGCTGCCAAGGTGAGAGTAATGCTGGACTTAGGTACGAACTCAAGCTCCATAGCTTTTGCACCTCCCCCCCTCCGACACTCCTACTGACCCTGCTTAAGCTTATATTTTGTGCCATTCCTCTGGTCCCACACTACAAATTTCCTCCATTCACACAGCACCAACCCTACTTTTCAGGGGGGGGGAAGGGCGTTAAAATAACGGGTAGGGCACTTGCCTTGCACACGGCTGACCTAGGTTCCATCCCCGGAGCCCCAGATGGTCCCCCACCGGGCTCCACCCCAAGCCCGACCAGGAGTGATCTAAGTCCTGAGAACCGCCAACCCATAAGATAGGTAAATAATTTATTTACCTCATAAATAAATAATTTATTTACCTATCTTATGGGTAAAAGTCACCATATTAAATTATTTGGTGAAGCTAAAAGTATGTGAAGCATGAGTGTTAACGCCTCGCAATTTTCTTTTGCAAGATGCTAATCAAGCTGACTAAACCTGACATGACAAGAAAAATGTACCACGAAACATTCTTTGAAGGCTATCAAAGTTTTTTTTATTTAAGTTATTTAAGTTTTTTTTTTTATTTAAAAGCGCTACTTTTCCGTTCCTTTCCCTCATTTTCTGATTCCCCCTTTTCCCCTGGCGCCGAGAAGTTGAACCTTCTGTGCTGAAACCTAACATGGGAGAGTCACAGTAGCTAAAGAAAACGCAGAACCGGATCTGCACCCAAGTTCTCCAGTCAGTCCCCCCGTGGTCAGGAGCCTGGGTGGGATGAACTACCTAGAACCCTTTGGCTACAGAAGGACAGTCAACACAGTAGCCACGAGGTCCCCCAAGTGCCAGCTGAGAAGCGCAGAGAAGCGCCTGGAACATTCCAGCACGCCGCTCACCACACCCGCCCCGCCGCGGGCGAAAACGTTTCCGGAGAAGCTCCTCCGAGGATGGCTCTCCTTCCCCCTTCCCTTTTCCTTCCACACCTTCCCCTCCGTTCTCATAGTCAACAAAACGCACACGTCGATTTGAAACTTTCACAATTAGGTTATTCCGTTTCTGTCAGGGGGGGAAATCGTCTGTCCTCGCGCCGGACGTCAGTTAAATCCAGGCATGGCCACGAGGCTGATTTGTTTGTTTGTTTATTGATTGATTGATTTTTGTCAACAAGCCCAGTAAGGCCACCGGACCCGGCATCTAAGTCACAACCGGGCACTCCCCCTCGGCCTTTGGCAACAACGTTCTAAAGTCCTCTTCCACCGCGTCGCCTCGGCCATTTTGGCCATTTCGGCTCCCTCCGGTCACGCCTCTCGCCCCCACGAGGCCTCCTGAGAGGCCCGAGCCATCCTTTCACCGCCTCGCTTCCCACCCGACCACACTCTCACGGGCGCTCATCTCGCCAAGCCCACGCAAACACCTGCTGCCACTCCGCGTCGCAACCTCCCTCGCCGCAAGCTTCCCCGTTGTCGTCGTCGTCTTCGTCGGCGTCGGGACTGAGGAGCCGCGCCTCTCTGCGCAAACTCCGCGGGCGGTTGCGCAGGCGCCGTGGGTTCCCACCTTCCCGGCAGCCACCGCGCCACACGCGACGCCCTACGCCCCGAAGCTGCTGGCGCTGCTGGGAGAGATTTTTTTTTTTTCATTCCGCCTGTTGCCAGACCAGATGGTCTGTTGATCAGATCGGTAGATTGCATGTCTTCCAGTAATAAAAAGTCCTTTCTAAAAAAATAAATTTTTTTTAAAAATGTTTTTAAAAATGCTTCCCAGGGAGTGCTTGGGGGAAGAGCAGCAAAATCTGACACCAGACTTTCAAAAAAGGGGAGAGGTGAATGACCAGAGCAAGCCCCGGTTGTGGAGTAACTCTTGGCATCTCTCATATGAATATAATATGGATATATGTAAGCTGCCCACTCACAGTTTTCAAGTCAGAACCCATTCCTCACTTCCATGGACCCTCCTCCACAGACCCTTCCCCTCTTTTTGACGCCTTTGCTGCACCCAAACTCACAGAATTGCATCTTTCTAGAATATTCTTTTTTTTGTTTTGTTTTTCTCAGGTTTTTTTTTTTTTATTGAATCACTGTGGGAAAGGTTACAAAGCTTTCAGGTTTAGGTCTCAATCATGCAAATATCAAACACATTTCCCTTTACCAATACTTATTTTTTACCATGAAGAACCCCAATAAAACCCCACCCCCCACCCCTCCCCGTCCCTGTGAGGCAGATGAATTTCTAGAATATTCTTGACGTCAGAGTAAGTTTAATGAACTTAATGAGTAGCCTTCACAGAATGTTTCGTGGTACATTTTTCTTGTCATGCCAGGTTAGTCAGCTTGATCAGCGTCTTGCAAAAGAAAATTGCAAGGCATTAACACTCATGCTTCACATACTTTTAGCTTCACCAAATAATTTAATATGGTGACTTTGACCTGCAATTTCAAAGATAGAGAGTCTGAACTTATGCCCAATTGATGGGCCAGAGGTAAAAAAAATATAACACCTCATAAAACAAAGGTCAGCGACATCTCCTTCATAAATTGCAGGTACTCTTACCCCTCAGCAAATTGTATTTAACACATACATGCATAATTATGTATGTATACGTGTGTTTTCCCTTTGACTTATTCAAATGTCAGAAAAGTTGTATTTTTTTGTACAGGTTTATTGGTTATGGAAACGCCAATTATAATTAAGTTCCTAGAAAGTGGGTAGATGGTCAAACTTGATTTGCTAATATTGTGAAATATCTCATTTAATAAACCAGACTAGATGATTATGGGAAGTTACCCGTAGTCTATTTAAAAATCCTATTAACTTAAGAAATTATAGCAAAAATTTTCCCATTTATGGTAAAATGAGGGGAAAGTTATGTTTTCATAAATCAGTGTATTAGTGCTAAAGGATTATCTTTTATTCTGATACTGTTGTCCTTCCTAATTTATTTGGTGTTAACTTATCCCTTGATGAAATAAAAAGTTAGACGTTCTAAATTTTTTTGTCCTACTTGGTACAATACAGTGTTTATCTCTAATTATTATCCTGAAATTATTCTTCATGGTAGATTAAATTCAGTGGTCTGGGAAACTCTGATCCAATTCTTCTCCCACATTTCTTGAGATCTAGAGAGGTAGTTATATAATTCTTAAGTATTTTCAGAAAAGCAAAATGTTCCTCTAATACATGAAATGTTTACATCAGATTAAGAGACGACAATGAACATTTTATTTTATTTTTTAAAATTTCACCTTCATTGTAAACTAAATTAGAATAAGTAGGAGGCTATGGAGAATTAGAGTTGTGTCAGTCTTCAAAATAGTCAGAGGGCAGGGACAGGAGAGTTAGCACAGTGAGCAGGGCACTTGCCTTGCAGACACTTTTAAGCCCAGCACCACATATGGACCCCTGAACCCCGCCAGTTGTGAACCCCGAGTAAGCCCTGAGCATGGTGGAATTGTGGCTCCAAAACAAATAATAGTAATAATGATCAATATATTCAAAGGGAAGCTATCTAGTCTTCATAAACAGCCCTATTAAATAGAATGGACATAAAATTAATGTATCCCTAAACTAGGAAATGGGTAAATTATATGTACTACACCTTTGAGTAGTGATGGAGAAAAGTAAGTAACAATGTAGCAACTAAATTTAACTTATCTAATAGAAATTAAATCAAATTAAGTTCCTTGGTTATTTGATTACATGTCTTCCTAATCACCTTTTGATTCCAAGTTTTCATGTTAATTAGCCTGCTTATGACTACAGTTAGATTAAAAATTGGCTGTTTCAATTTCCATAATGGGTATATTCCTATTACATACCTCTGAAGTGGGCTATTTATTTTCTTCTTATATTTCCACAGTAAGTAGCTCTAAACTGTCCAGCCACAGACTTCCCTTGTAATCACGGCTGTGGACATGATGTTATAAGTAGGAAATGAAAACCTTCTCTTAGCGCACACACACACACACACACACACACATACAGAGAGAGAGAGAGAGAGAGAGAGAGAGAGAGACCTAGCAATAAACACTTCTCTCTCCTCACCCACCCCCATCTCTAGAATCCCCGTTCTCATAGTCCCAGTACTAGCAAAATCGCATGAACAGTCATCTTGCTTAATTCCCATGCTAGCAATGACACAGTTCCCAAAAAGTTATCAAAGAAATTTTGTTCCTGCTAATTGTTTTTAAGACTCTGATATTTATCCTCTGCTTTTTAAAAATTGTGTCTTAGATACTATGGTTATATTACAAGAATAACACTAGCAGAACTTCAGTCCTGTTAGGGTAAGTTTTATCCTTAAGTGTGAATAGAAAGCCTCAGAAAGAGGTAGGTGTGAAAAAAAAAGACACTTCTCACTGACTGAGTTGGAGCTTATATGCTTGGGATGGACCAGAATTCCAACTTTTACAAAAGAATTGACCATTTTATTTGAAACAATTAATTCCTATCTTCCAACACTGGTTCTCAAACTGTATGCCCTAAAAACAGCCAACGCTGGAAGGCGGGTCCAAGGCGTGCCTGCAGCTGTCTCCTCCCCATCTCCTTGCTCAGCAACTAGTTCTGTTTTCCCATGCGTTTCTGCTTCTGCTGCCAACAGGGCTGCACCTTCAAAAGATCGACTACCGCCCCAGGAAGAAGAAGGAGACTTCATATCTCTTCTATCACTTCCTCCCGCAGGAAACCAGCTGGCAGAGGTAAGAAATATCATTCTTCTCTATGTGGAAATCCAGGCATGGTGATTAGACAGAAAAAAAACTGAGAAACAGATAGGAAAAATTTCAATCTTGACATTCCTGTGATGGACAATTAGTAACATCAGGAACAAAAGCAGATGTACTCAAGCTTTTTGTGCCCGTGATCTCTTTAATCCAGATCTCTTTAAAAGTACTGAGGCCCCTTGAGGCTGGAGTGATAGTACAGTGGGTAGGGCATTTGCCTTGCATGGCACCGACCAGGATTTGATTCCCAGCATCCCATATGGTTCCCAAAGCACCGCCAGGAGTAATTCCTGAATGCAGAGCCAGGAGTAACCCCCGAGCATTGTGGGATGTGACCCAAAAAAGCCAAAAAAAAAATAGTGTGAGGACCCCAAAGAATTGTGTCTGTAAGATATTTTACCGAGTTTCTGTCTTTACTGCCATAATGTCACTTGCAGTATTAGAAATTTAAACATAGGAAAAAGAGAGTTCCTTTTTTGTTTTGGTGCCACACCCCTAAAGTACTCTGAGGTTTCTTCCTGCTCTTTGAAACTTGAAGGTGCTCCAGGGACCATGAGGTACAGGACATCAAACCCAGGGTTTCACACATGCAAGGCAAGTACTGTGAAAACTGAGCTGCGTCTCTGACCCCAAACAGAAAATTTTTAGTCACCCATTTGTTTTAAAATAACAATAAGCAAATCACACGTTAATGCAAGTAGCATTTTAAATTAAAAATAACTACATGTTTTTTAAAAATCTACGATGAAGAGTGATACTAGTTTTCATTCTTACAAATTTTCCTACAATTTGGCTTAAAAACATAGCATTCTCACAACTGCAGCATCCAGTCTGTGCAGTACCACACAGAATGGAGCCTGAAGTAAATTATTCTATGATTAGGAGAGTTGGGGAAGGGAGGAAATGGGGTAAATCACATCTTAGAATTATTGTAAGAAAAAACTTTGCCCTCATGAATCCCTTGAGAATTGCAGTTCTAGGGTGACAGAATAAATGAGCAACTGTTTTAAGGAAGTTTCTATTTTTGAATCAGTTATTTAAAAGAAAAATGCCAAAGACTGATCTGATTTATTTTAGGCCACATCTCATGGTCCTCAGGGATTACTCCTGGCCATGTGCTCAGAGGTCATCCTGGCAGGACTTAGGGAACCATGTGAGGTGCCTGGGATCAAACCTGAGCTGGGCACTTGAAAGGGAAGCACCCTACCTGCTGTGCTATCGTTCTGGCCTCAAGACTGATTATAGAGTTCTGCATCCATTCCTTCAGGTTGAGCTCTAATTGCACAATACATCAATCCCCTGAGTAACTTTATTGTACAATAAGGAAAGAATTTAATATGATCTGTTGTGGAAAATGAGCAGCAAAAATAGACACCCTTGAACTCATTTATTTTTATGTCTGTATCCAGATACTTCAAGCTCTATTAGATCTTCCCACAAAATATCTTTATTTAAATTTTATTTTTTCATAATATACCTTCCTACATGGAGTCCAGCATGAATCCTTATAGTTAATTCATAGCTATCTCTAATCCTCTTTATGCACTTGACAGTTCAGTGACCTGCGATATTCTCCTCTTATTTGTGAGATTTAATCCAAACTCTTCCACATGATTTCCAAAGCACTCCAGAGTCTAACCCCACTTTATCTTATGTCCACTGGAAAATATTAATAAAAAAATTAGTTCATCCAAGCAGCTCGCTGCAGAGATGCCTCCAGACTTTAAGTCAGGCTGACATCACCGGGGTACTTCAGACAGGGGCAAGGTGTCATACTCATCTGCCCCCTAAGAATCCCTGCAGCCGCCAACTTCCAGAACCCAGTGAGAAGTGCAGGTATGCAGGTTCAGTGATGGCAAACTCCAGGCCTCAAGGGGTAGGGGATGAGCTGGTCCTTCTCATCCCCTCGTCCCTATGGGACCCCGGAGGTCACGCCCATGAAAATGCCTGACTGCTATTTAAGCTCCTCAACAGCCAAGATCTAGAGACACACAAAAGAACCTCCGAACCAAGCAGCTAGCTTCAGAGGTTTCTCCAAACCATAATTATCTAAAATTTTAGAATTCCAAGAGTGAAAGGCCGCTCTCTCAGCCATGTGACATCTTGCGCTATTCATAATAAGCAATACAAAATAAATTATCTAGCATCTGCCTTTACGGCAGGTTTGAGTGGTGGGGGGAAAATTAAAAATAATGGGGGTGGGAAGGTGTAATGGTGGTGAAACTGGTGTTGAAATATTGAATGTACTCCATTATTGTGAACAACTTTATGAAAATTAATTTTAAAAAATTAGTTCAGTTTACCCCCACAACATATTTTTAATCACCACATAAATTCTATAACTTCATATATTCAAATTTTAAATATTCTAAACAGCAGCTAGCAAATTAGCACCAGACCAGTAATATTAAATTCAACTCTCATTTTCACACAAGGCTATTCAAATTATACCAGTTGTTTAATGTTTTGCTAGTCAGTAATTCACAATTGATATGTATACCTTTTGTCATTACCTAGATATCTAAGTCTTTCCACCCCACCTCTGCCGCCTCCACCTACTTACGTACATACTACATACATACAAGCATGTATACATAGATGGCATAATTTTCAAGGAAAAAAGTTGTAGAACTAAAAAGCTATATTTTGGGACCAGCACAATAGTACAGTGGGTAGGGCATTTACCTTGCATGCAGCCCATCCAGGTTGAATCCCAGGCATCCCATATTGTCCTCTGAGCACTGCCAGGAGTGATCCCTGAGCGCAGGGCCAGGAGTAACCCCTGAGCATTACAAGGTGTGGCCCAAAATCCAAAAACAAATAAAAAAAAAACCCTTGCTTTTAAACAAAAGCTAGATTGGGGTCAGAGGGTGGGAGGGAGTCTGAAAGCTAGATTTTGTCTTATTTCTCTCAAGCTGACTAATCCTAGGGAATTAGTAATATGTTTCCTCATTTCATCCCCTGTATATTTCACAGAATTGAAGTTTCACAGAAAATATAAACAGTCACAGCTGCTTTTCAACTTCACAGCATTTTTAGCTTTAACCTAACATTACTAGTTTCTAAACTAGTGGCTTAATGCTATCAATACTAAGTAAATATGTGTTATTTTAATTAACCAAATTTAAATATTAAATTTGATACTTAATTTAATGTTTAACTTACAATTAATTAAAATTTAATTTTAAAGTATACTTAATTAAGCTTAATTTAATATTAAGTTTAAGTGATTTGTTTCAAACAATATGTGTTGTTTTAGAATTATGAGGTGGTCACTAGGATATTTGCCAAACATAGAAATGGTTCTCCCCTTGCAGACTTGAACAAAACCTAGAATTACAGAATATTGCAGCTGGAAAAAGACCTTCATAGGGTTGATTGTTCAACTTTCTCATTGTTCAAATGAGAAAACTGAGATCTCCGTTTCATAATTAAGTGACTTGCCCCAGACAAAATTTCTGTGTCCTTATTGCCAGGTTGGTTTGTTATTCACAGTCTCTGAGTAAAGGCTTATTAAACTAAAAATTGTTATTAAAAAATTAAAAAGTTGTCCCTGGATATTCCTGGGAGGTTCTTTCTTGGGTATAATTTCTTAATTTCTTCTTCAATAACCTGATGTTCTTAGATAAAATATTCAAACCATATATCTAATGGAAACCAAATCTAATTTTCATACGTTAGATTTTAGAAGCTGGAGCGATAGCACAGCGGGTAGGGCGTTCGCCTTACAAGCGGCCAACATGGCCGACCCGAGTTCGATTCCTCCGCCCCTCTCGGAGAGCCCGGCAAGCTACCGAGAGTATTCGATATGCCAGACACAGTAACAACAAAGTCTCCAATGGAGACGTTACTGGGCCCGCTCGAGCAAATCGACGATCAACGGGAGAGCCTTTACCTTTACCTTAGATTTTAGAAAGCAAAGGAGTATAGAAGAGAAAGGAGGAAAATTAGGAACAGAAGGGAAAGAGAGACTCAGTGGTTGTAATCATAAATGTATTGAGATCTAACAAAACGAGGGCAAGAAAATAGAACTATTTTTAAAAACTCATTAAATAAAAAAAGAAACTACTAAGGAAAAGGGAAACTAATAGAAATTTTCTACTGGTAAGAATGTTTTCAGGGCCTGAGTAGAGCAGCTATGCTTTTTTTCTCTACTGAAACCACTTAGCCTGCATCCTCTCCCTCTCCCTCTTTCAAGGGAAGAGAAGAACCATCGTCAATGGTAAAAGGCAGAAGCAACTCCTAGAACTGGCTCCACGCTCAGGAGAGGATGCTGTGGCTCCTCTTCATGGTTTTGGGTGCTCTACATGGTCAGAGAAACTTCTCTAGTAACGAACTATAGAAACGATCACTGAAAGAATAGTCTTCACAGCATGATTCTTGCCTTACACATGGCCCAACCAGGTTCGGTTCCCCAGCACCCCCAGAAGTGAGCCCTGAGGGGCTGGAGTGATTGTTCAGCTGGGAGGGCATTTACCTGGCGCACGGTAGACCCAGAGTCCATCCCCAGCATCCCATACGGTTCCCCACACACTGCCAGGAGTAATTCCTGAGTGCAGAGCCAGGAGGAACCCCTGAGCATTGCTGGGTGTGACCCAAAAAGAAAAGAAAATAATAAGTGAGCACTGAGCACTGAGTCAGATGCTGAGCACCACTGGGTGTAGCCCAAAAACTAAAAATAAAAACAGAAATGTTTTTCAGACATCCTTCCTTTGGGGCAGTGCATGTGAATCAGCAGCAAAGTACATGCCTTGCAGGCACAAAAACTAGGTTTTGGGACCTGGATCTGAGTTTCCTCTGGTCTCTTGCCAGAGGAGGGCTGAATCATGTTCCGCGAGTGTAACACCTCTTGTTAAGAAAACTAGGTTCAATTCCTAGCAACATAAAACAAATAAAAACAAACATGCTCATTTTCTTTCTTTCTGGCTCTCAGATGGGATGAAAGTTTTAATATGGAAAAAAATCTCCTGCTCTCTTTATAAAGCCCATAAATCAGATACAGTCTCATTAATCTTGCTCATTAAATTTGGCACTTATGGGTCCTGGAGAGATAGTACAAGTGGGTAGGGTTTTTGCCTTCCATGTGGCTGACCCGGGATTCAATTCCTGGCAAACCATATGGCCCCCTGAACCTCACCAGGAGTGATTCCTGTGTCAGGTATAAGCCCTGAAAACAAAACAAGTAGTGAAAACAATTATTACATTATTAGCAAGAGTGGTGTTATAAATAAAGGATCTTGTTAGCTAAGAAAAAGAGAATAAACGACAAACATGAGTGAAAACAATTAGTTCCATTTTGTATTTCTCAAAGAGTCACCTCATGCAAGTCATGGGACAAAGAAGTTTCTGGGAGGAGGAGCAATTGTTCTGCTAATTTTTTCACTCATGTTTGTCTTTTATTCTCTTTTTCTTAACTAATAAGTTCCTTTATTCATAACACCACTCTTGTTAGTAATGTAATAAATCGCAAAAAGTATTCACTTAACCCTTGTTCCTTAACACGAGTTCCTATTGCATATAAGCTATATTGGTGCTGAAGCTGAGCCAATCTATTTTTAATCAACTTGATTGTTAGAGTTATTTTGGTAACTTGAACAGTAGAGAGATATGGGGAGAGAATAATTAACCAATGGAGGAATGGTGCTAGTTTTCCTAAGAGATGTTTGGACAAGGATTTAAAGGATGAGGAAGAGTTTGGTAAACCACACACATACACACATGCGCACACACACACACACACACACACAAGTGGTAATATCTGCCAACATAAGTGTCAGGGAGTGTCTGGAAGCAAGAAAACTAAGTAGAGGGGTATTAAACAAAAACTAAGTAGAGCAGTATTAGACTAGACAATAGGAGTATTTAATAAGAATATTAAAATACCCTGGGCTGGGGCGATAGCACAGCGGGTAGGGCATTTGCCTTGCACGCAACCAACATGACCGACCTGAGTTCTATTCCTCCGCTCCTCTTGGAGAACCCAGCAAGCTACCGAGAGTATCTCACCCGCACGGCAAAGCCTGGCAAGCTCCTCGTGACATATTCGATATGCCAAACACAGTAACAAGTCTCACGATGTTACTCGGCCCGCTCGAGCAAATCGATGAACAACGGGAGGACAGTGACAGTGATTAAAATACCCTACTAATAAGGACATGATTTAAAACAGTGCTGGTGGAGATTAAGAGAAAATACCAAAATGCTAGAGATGATTCTAATTTACATTACTTATCAGACAGGGAAATGTTTGACAAAGAACTTATGACGGACCCCAGGTTTCAATTGGGACAGTTTATTTGGAAATGTTTTGAAAAGTAATCAAGTAGTATATTTTACAATTAGAATATGTATCTGAAACCATATATCAAAATTTGCAAATTATATAGATGCAATAAGTACCACCCTTTCTCACCTCTTCAGTGCCATGCTTCTAAGAGTGGGCTGCATGCACTTTTTCTGTTTTCTCTTCACATCTACCCTCAATCTTTGTCAACCAGCCTTCTGCTACTTCCACTAACCTTCAAGCTGTTGACCTATCAAAACTTCATAATAGCCAACTTTTGTTTTATTTTGTATTTTTGTTATTTTGTTATTTTGTGCCATACCTGGTGGTGCTCAGGACTCACACCTGACTCAGGGATCACTCCTGGTAGGGTTCAGGGGGTCATATAGGGTGCTAGGAATTGAACCCATGTCAGCCACGTGGAAGGCAAGTGCCCTACCCACTGTACTATCTTTCCAGGACCCTTTAGTGTCAAGTTTAATGAGCAAGATTAATGATCCTTCATCTGGTTTATGGGCTCTGAAACTTTGATTTCAAGCAAATCCTCCCAGAAACTTCTTTGTCCCATGGCTTCCATGAGGCGACTTTTAGAGATCTGCAAAATGGAACTAATTGTTTTCACCCATGTTTGTCTTTTATTCTCTTTTTCTTAGCTAATAAGGTCCTTTATAGCCTCATCAGTTCTTACCTTAACTGTTAAAATTACTTCAGATGTTTTCTGACCTCTGTCTACTCTTCTCCTATAAAATCCATTCTCAGCACTGTTGCCAGATTGAGCTTTTTAAAACATAAATTTGATTGTGTCCTTCCCCGACTTAAAATGTCAGTGGTTCTTTTCATTCAGAAAATAATTTCAAACTCTTTCAGTTTACTTAAGCAAGGCACTTACAAGCTTTCATAGAGCTGAATACATTGCCAATTGCATTTTATATGAATGTAAATAGAATAAAACTAATGTAATATAAAGTACAAAATGGGAATATATGAACTCCAAATTTAGTAGTTTATCTAGAATGTCATAGTTTTAAAGTTAGAGGGTCAAATGAGTTGTGAACTGTTAGTACTATAGCCACAAGTATCTCAGACCTGGCAGAAAATATATGTTTCCATATTAAAATTATATAAATGAGGGGCCAGAGCGATAGCACAGCGGGTAGGGCGTTTGCCTTCCATGTGGCCAACCCAGGTTCGATCCCCGGCATCCCAGATGGTTCCCCAAGCATCATTTCATTTTTTCATTTCATCATCCTGTTAATCGTCGATTGCCTCGAGCAGGCCCCAGTAACGTCTCTTTCATCCTAGCCCTGAGATTATATTCACGGCTCTTTAAGAGAATGAGACCCATCATTGTTACTGGTATTTGGCATATTTGGTACGCCACGGGGAGTTTGCCAGACTCTGCCCTGTGGGCAGGCTACATTCGATAGCCTGCAAGTTTGTCCAAACAATGTTTGTCCCCAAACATCGCCAGGAGTAATTCCTGAGTGCAAAGCCAGGAGGAACCCCTGAGCATTGCTCGGTGTGACCCAAAAAGCAAAAAAAAAATTATATAAATGAGGTTTTCTTTAAATATCTCTGAAGTGCTTTGAGACATTCAGGTGGTTGTTGTGTTACTATTTTTTTAACATTCACTAGCATTAAAATTTTATACCTAATATTATGTTTTAAAATTATTATTATAAGTACAGCTTGTGTTTTAAAATGCTTCCAAATAAATAAATTGGAAAACTTTTTGATTAAAAAAATGACAATAATAAGACCAAAATATCACCATTTAGAGAAACATTCTGAACAAAAGTAGTAATAATGTTGAGAAAGCTGGGAAAAAGCAAGCAAGTGTGGATTTTGATTATTATAAATTTCCAGGCTCCAAGGATATCTTCTCACATAAAGTTATATTTATTCCCACAGCGTTTGCCTTAATGACAGTAAAAATGATGGAATTCCAGGCAATCATGTTGTTTCAGCTTCCTTGCTTCTTGCTTTTGTTCACAAACTTCTCATTGTGAATGCTTTTCCCCTGGCCTTGGAAACACCTACCAAAGCATCCTAATCATCACTTCCTTTAAGAAAGCTCTTTGCAAAGCCTGAGAGAAAGTATAATAGGTAAGGAATTTGTCTTGCACTCAGACAACCAGCCAGGGAATAAGTCTTGAGCACCACCAGATGTACGCCCCACCACCAAAAAAAAAAAAAAACAAAAACAAAAAACAAAATAAAAAACAGAAATCTTTTTGCCACCTCAGAGGGAGAAGTTCTCTTGTAAATCCTACTCTTACAGTTACAAAAATTACAGTTTTGTAATTGCTTATAGATTTGTCGTGCCTGTTGAATCATCAGTAATTGGAAGATAAGGAACTAAGGCACATTCATTTGTGTTTTGTCAGTTTTCTAGCTTCATGCCTAATACTTGGTGAATGCTCAACAACTAAGAGAGTACTAAATTCAAATATTGTCTAGTATGATTCTTTTTCCTCCTTCCCTTTGCTTTATTGTCATTGCAATGACCTGGGTCCCACACACTTGGTTGTTGGTGCCAGAGATCCCAAACATTATGTTGAGGGATTGAACTCAATTCTTCATGCCTGCAAGGCAGGTACTCTAATGCTGAGCTATATGCAGGCCCCCTAGTATAATTATTTGCTAAGGTAACTGTGTCCTTGAAATGTAGTTATTCACTGATTGAATACTCACTGCAGTGATAAAAACTAATAATTTCACCCAGTTCCTACCCATACTACTTGTTAATGTTCAGGTGGCTTACTTTCTTTTTTTTTCCTTCTTTTTGGGTCACACCTCGCCATCCTCAGGGGTTACTCCTGGCTCATGCACTCAGGAATTACTCCTGGCGGTGCTCGGGCGACCATATGGGATGCTGGGAATCGAACCTAGGTTGGCTGCATGCAAGGCAAACGCCCTACCTGCTATGCTATCACTCCAGCCCCCAGGTGGCCTACTTTCACAGCTTTGTGTCCAATACATGATATTAACATTTGTAAAGAAAATCACATTAGTCTTCGCTTTAGCAACTAATATATACCTGCATAAATATAGTAACTAACCATTCGATATGTGCAAGGGATTGAACCTAGGAAAACAATTTATTAAGTAAATAAATCTTCTGGCCAGGAAAATAACTTCCATATATTTCATAGCAGTAATGAGTTTAAACCATATTTCAAGATCTCTGCAACAATTATAACATATTAATAAACATGTATTTCTATTAGTGGCATTCATAGATACTGACAATAATACTGTGGTTTGTCTACATCATCTGCTCAACTTCAGTTAGAAATTGGTACAAATAAATATGTCATTTTCCCCCTTCTAAATTTCCATATTTCCTAGATGTAGAACTCTCACTTCATATATCAAAATCTGGAACAGCTCTTCTATTTTAGAGTACATCTGGGCAAAGGAGAAGATCAAAAGGAAGAATTTTTAACATTTTCAGCATTGTTTGTTAAAAAAAAAAACAGAAAATTTATACTCCTGTGTTATTTGCATATAAATCACAGTCTGGTCCAGATTTCAGATCAAAATTTGTTGCTGCTTAAGGTGAAATTCAGGCTATCAGATACTACTTCCCCAATTGCCTCCACTCCCAGATGGAAACACCCTTTAATCATTGCTTCACCTTTAGTACTCTGACAATGAAGTTACCAACCTTGAACCTCTGACGTGCAGAAAGAAACCTGTTTGTTGGAAAATAAAGATACAATCAGTCCCCATTAAAGGACAGGATTCCATGTGTTTCTGACATCCTATATTTACACTGATACACATTTATAGTTTTCCCAAGAAACTGGAACAATAATTCAGTTCAATAACTTAGCCACACTTTCTGGATTCTAAACATCTATCTCTGAAAAAGGGGGCCTGAGCGATAGTATAGCAGATAAGCCTTTTGCTTCGTATGCAGCTGACCCAGTTTTGATTGCTGGCATTCTAGTCTATCTGCCCAGCACCACCAGAAATAATTCCTGAGTGCTGAGCCAGGAGTAACCCAGAGCGTTGCTGGGTGTGACCTAAAAAGCAAAAAAATAAAAATAGATTTTAAACATCTGCTTGCTTTGTTTTGTTTTTTGCTTTTGTTTTTTGGGTCACACCCAGTGATGCACAGGGGTTACTCCTGGATCTGCATTCAGGAATTACCCCTGACGGTGCTCAGGGGACCATATGGGATGCTGGGAATTGAACCCGGGTCAGCCGCGTGCAAGGCAAACACCCTACCAGCTGTGCTATTGCTCCAGCCCCTCTGCTTGCATTTTTTTTGGTTTTGTTTTGTTTTGTTTTATTGTTGTTGTTGTTTTTAATTTTTTATTAGTGAATCACCATGAGGTACAGTTATGGACTTATAAACTTTCGTGCTTGCGTTTCAGTCATACAATGATCGAGTACCCATCCCTCCACCAGTGCCCATTTTCCACAACCAATGGTCCCAGCATCCCTCCCACCACCCAACCCATCCCCTCCACCCTACCCCACCTCTGTGGCAGGGCATTCCCTTTTGCTTTCTCTGTTTTTGTGTGTTGTGGTTTGCAATAGAGATATTAAGTGGCCATTTAGTTTGGTCTATAATCTACTTTCTGCACGCATCTCCCATCCCAAACAGGTCCTCCTAGCACCCTTTATTTGGTGGTTCCTTCTCTACCTGAACTGCTTTTTCCCCAGCACGCGAGGCCAGCTTCTAAGCTGTGGAGTAATCCTTCCGGTACTTATCTCTACTATTCTTAGGTGTTAGTCTCCTATTCTGTTACTTTATATTCCACAAATGCATGCAATCTTTCTATGTCTCTCCCTCTCTTTCTGACTCATTTCACTTAACATGATACTCTCCATGTTGATTCACCTATATGAAAATTTCATGACTTCACTTTTCTAACTGCTGCATAGTATTCCATTGTGTAGATGTACCAAAGTTTCTTTAACCAGTCATCTGTTCTCAAACACTTGGGTTTTTTTCCAGATTTTGGCTATTGTAAGAAGTGCTGCAATGAACGTGTAAGTGCAGGTTTCATTTCTACTATACTTTTTTGCATCTCTGGGATATATTCCCAGAAGTAGCATTGTTGAGTCAAATGGGAGCTCAATTTGTAATTTTTTGAGAAGTGTCCATATTTTTTTCCAAAAGCACTGAACCAGTCAGCATTCCCACCAGCAATGAAGAAGAGTTCCTTTATCCCCACATCCACACCAACACCAGTTGCTTTTGTTCTTTTGGATGTGAGCCAGTCTCTGTGGTGTGAGATGATATCTCATAGTTGTTTTTATCTGCATCTCCCTGATGATTAGTGATGAAGAGCATTTTTCCATGTACCTTTTGGCCATTCGAATTTCTTCTTTGAGAAAGTTTCTGTTTATTTCATCACTCCATTTTCTGATGGGGTTAGATATTTTCTTCTTGTGGAATTCAACCAGTGCCTTGTAAATCCTTGATATCAACCCCTTATCAGGTGGGTATTGGGTGAATATCCTTTCCCATTCTGTATCCCATTTTGTCTTTGTATTCTGGTCACTGCATCTTTTGAGGTGTGGAAGCTTCTCAGTTTAAGGTAGTTCCATTTGTTTATCTCTGATTCCACTTGCTTGGCCAGTGGTATGTCACCTTTAAAGATATCTTTTAGCTTCAGTGTCATGTAGGGTTTTGCCGATCTTGTCAAGACTTTTGCGGATGGTGTTAGGTAGAAGTCTGAGACCATTTTCTTGCATGTAGCTGTCCAGTTTTGCCATCATCAGTTGTTAAAGAGGCTTTCCTTGTTCCACTTCACATTTCTTTCTCCCTTATCAAAGATTAGATGATCATATATTTGAGGGTGTGTGTCAGAATATTCAACGCTGCTATTGCTTCAGCCCCTCTGCTTGCTTTTTAAGAGCAAGTTTGTAAATGGATGTTCGGAAGGTAAAGACTCCAGCATTTATGAAATGTCCATAATGTTTATCAACATATTGGATGATACAGTGATCTCAGGATTGAAGAGGTTATATAAGATTGTTCCTCAAAGGAACAAGCATCACCTCTTAACAAATGACTCTTTTCTTTTATTAGAAACAGATAAGATGATGGCTGATGTTCCAGAAGACAACTGCATCAATCTTATCAACATGAAATTTATTGACGGTACACTTTACTTTGAAGGTAAGCCTAAAGTAATAGGCCAGATACAGGATGTAGTAGTGTATTCAAATGTGTCCAACTGGAGAAAAAAATGTCAAGAATTATTGACTCCTTTTTGTCACTAAATTCCATTGTAATACTAATGATTCTCTTCTCTGGGGAGAAAATATTTATTGGACATTTAGAAATTAATATGTTCGGGGCTGGGGCAATAGCATAGCGGGTAGGGTGTTTGCCTTGCACGCAGCTGACCCATGTTCAATTTTCAGCATTCCATATGGTCCCCCGAGCACACTATCAGGAGTAATTCCTGAGTGCATGAGCCAGGAGTAACCCCTGTGCATCGCCAGGTGTGACCCCAAAAAGCAGAAAAAGAAAAAAAAGAAATGAGTATGTTCAAGATCTCAGCATCTTGTCCCACCACATGTCCTAGTATGATAATCAGCAGTAGTCCACTTATATAGGGTTCACTGCACATCACCCCACAAGACTGACCAAGAGAATATAATATCCTAAAGCAACCTCACAAATTATATAAGAAATACCTAAAGCCTGCAGTTCTGTGAGTATTTATTTTAAGCAAATATATTTCAGAAATAGAAATAAGTTCTTACAATTAATCTTCTATGGGCAGTTTGATTTCACTTGAAAGTTTCATAGAAAGTACTTAGGTGACTTTTAATCAACAGATTTAAAAGTAAATTTGTTAATTTATGAAACTCCCTGTTTCAGTTACGATATTAAATTTATAAACCTTGGATTTCATATCTAACTTATCTGAGAACATCTAAAGAATTGCATTTTATGGGCTCTTTTAGGTGATTATGTACTATTTCTTAATGGAGGCATAACTGGTAAAATAGTTACATTTAGGGCAATGACCAGGAATGTGTTTCAAGTATAAAGCACATGCTTTGAATATGTGAAGCCTTAGGTTTGATCCCTAGCATCAGATAAACTGAAACATGATCAAATGTGGCTGAACAACAACAAAAAATTTTAAAGACTTGGGAGAGACAGTACAAAAGTAAAGAATGTTAAGGTAAGAGGATATTCTAAATTTAAATATAGAATTTAACATATTTTCTTTTTGTTCTCCCCCTTTAGCTGAAGATTATGGTAAAGTATAAATTTATTTTTCTTTCTTTGCAAAACAATTAGTGAATTTAATAATCTTCCTAAGACACATTCTTACCAACATTCTTAGCTGAGAGAAACTGGTACCAATCTATTGAAGAAGCTGATCCTCCCTCACAAGCATGTGGACTCAGTAGCATACTTTGGAGTAAAGATGATCATATAGGATACTAAGAATTGCCTCTTAAAAAATGTGTTTCTCTAATTCTTAGGAAATTCTTCAGGTCTTAGAATCTATAAAATAGATCTTGCCTAGTACATAGACTCTAAGATTAACAGGAAGTTATGGATTCTCTAGCACTTATAGGAAAAGGAGGTTGAAATAAGAGAATTTTTCAAAATCAAGAACACCTTCTTTCTCCAATCCCTTTTCTTTTTTTTTTTAATTTTTATTAGTGAAACACCATGAGGTACAGTTGTAGACTTACAAATTCCAATCCCCTTTTTCAAAAATGCTTCAGGAAGAAGACCGGGAGAGCCTCAAGGGTGAGATAACTCTAGAAATAGAGAGAGGAATAAACAGAACTGAGACTGAGTCAGTAAGTCTTCTCAATTCCTTGTCCTTCTGACACTCAAGAAAACTTATTCCTATGTTTGGCCTATGCTTCTCTAACAGACTCACAAATTATTAAAGACCATTATTTCTCATATTTTTCTTCAAAAATGGCATTCTTCCCATTATAAGGTAATCCCCACTAGAATAGAAATAGCTACGTTAAAAAGAACGCTTGGGCTAGAGAGATGACACAGGGGAAAGGCCTTGCATGTGGCTGACCCTGGGTCAACCCTGAGCCCCTTTCTCCACAAAACCTTCTTCCACTTCCCCAGCTTGCTAACCTAATTCTGTTGTCAGAACCTATGAGTTTTTTCCATCGGCCATTGTTTACTGCTTTGCTTTGTTTCTTTATGTACCATACAAGTGAGATCGTCTAGTATTTTTATTTATCCTTCTGATATATTTTGCTTAACTTGACATCTTCTAGTCTATTCACATAGCAAAATGCAAGATTTTGATAGAAGAGTTTACAATCTCAAAACGAAAAATATCTTATTTTTCTTATTACTAAAATAATGTGTTTATTATGAATAATTCAGGCTATGAAGATGATATAAAAATTAAAACAGGTCGTAGGGCCAGAACAAGAGTACAGTGGATAAGGCACTTGCCTTGCACACAACTGACCCGGGTTCAATTCCTGATACCCCTTTTGGTACCCTGAGCCCCACCAGAAGTGATTACTGAGTGCAAAATCAGGAGTAGTACCCAAGAATTGCCAGGTGTAAACAAAAAAAAAAGGAAAAAATTTTTAAAAATCTATGCACAAAAGTCAAATCAAAATGGATTAAATATCTGGATATCAGACCTGAATCCATAAGTTGCATAGAAGAAAATATATGCAGAACTTTACATTGAAGCTAAAGCCATCTTTAAGGATGAAATGTCACTGATCAAGCAAGTAGAAGCAGATAAACAGATAGGACTGCGTTAAACTGAGAAACTTCTGCACCTCAAAGGAAATGATGAACAGAATACAAAGACAGCCTACAGACTGGGGGAAATTATTTGCCCACCAGTCATCCAACAGAGGATTAATGTCCAAGATATATAAAGCTGGTAGAACTCTACAAGGTAAAAACATCAAGTCATCCAAAAATTAGAAAAGATGAACAGGAACTTCTTCAAAGAAGAAATACAAATGGCCAAAAAGCATATGAAAAAATACTCTATGTCACTAACCATCAGAGAAATGCGAATCAAAATGAGATATCTCTTCACATCAGAGATATTGACACACATCAGAACAAACAACAACCAGTGTTGGCAAGGATATGGGGAGAAAAGGCCTCTCATTCACTGTTATTTAAAATGTCAACTGTTCCAGTGTTTTTGTTTTTCATTCTTAGGCCACATTCGCCCAATTCTCAGGGGTTACTCCTGATTCTGCACAGAGGAATTAGTTCTGGTGGTGCACAGGGATCATATGGGATGCAGGGTATTGAACATGGTAGGCCACATGCAAGACAAATGCCCTACCTGCTGTACTATCTCTCCAGACCCTAGTCGAGCCTTTTTAGGAGACAAAAACTATCAAGTAAGCTTCCGTATGAACCAGCAATTCCACTCCTTGGAGACCACCCCCCCCCCCCCCGGTCTCAAAAGCACAATGCAGAAAAGACATCTTCAGTATATTATTTGCTAAACGTAAAAGGAAAGGTGAAAATGTAGAGATCTGGAGAGTGAAGAAGGCTTGAAATTGCAAATTTTGACTATGGAAGAGAATGCTGAACTGGAAAAGAAAAATACAGAAAATTTGTGTGTTACTTTGTAGTGGCAGCAACCTGTACATTTTCATAATTGTTTATAGGCAGCCAAGTTATTAATAGCACAGCGGGTAGGGCGTTCGCCTTACAAGCGGCCAACATGGCCGACCCGAGTTCGATTCCTCCGCCCCTCTCGGAGAGCCCGGCAAGCTACCGAGAGTATTCGATATGCCAGACACAGTAACAACAAAGTCTCCAATGGAGACGTTACTGGGCCCGCTCGAGCAAATCGACGATCAACGGGAGGGCCTTTACCTTACCTTTATTAAACAGACATATAAATGAGGCATTTAAGATATTGGCAGAGGATTGGGAAAATTATAAACCATAAGATCCAGGCTGTGTAGAATAGAAAGGAAAAACAGGAAAAGATTAAATGGGAAGGAAGTGAAAAAATCAGAAGGACTAGTGTTGGCAGAGTAAAACCGTGAGAAAAACTGAAAGAGGGGCTGGAGCTATAGCACAGCGGATAAAGTGTTTGCCTTGCAAGCAGCCGACCCAGGTTCAATTCCCAGCATCACATATGGTCCCCTGAGCACCACCAGGAGTAATTCCTGAGTGCAGAAGCCAGGAATAACCCCTGTGCATCGCCGGGTGTGACACCAAAAGGAAAAAAAAAGAAAAACTGAAAGGATGGGAGTTTATGGTCAAATAGGAAATTTCAATTTAAGACTTCAGCAGTAATTTCTTGGAGGTAACATTTGAATTTCAGATTTCATAATTCTAGTTTAGTAAGAAATAGGATGTGCTCTTGGGAGTGAAGTAAAAACAATTACTCTGGGGGGCATGTGACTCAGTGGTAAAGACCTGGGCTCAATCCCTGTAAGAAATAAATAAAACACCACGCAACTTTATCACAACTGCTTCTATAACAAAATATTATGATTGATAGTTATTGAACATTGAAACATATAGTATTTCTACATTTACTTAAATTTTTTAAATTTATTTATTTATTGGGCTGGAGCGATAGCACAGCAGTAGGGCGTTTGCCTTACAAGCAGCCAACATGGCCGACCCGAGTTCGATTCCTCCGCCCCTCTCGGAGAGCCCGGCAAGCTACCAAGAGTATCTCGCTCGCACAGCAGAGCCTGGCAAGCTACCCGTGACATATTCGATATGCCAAACACAGTAACAACAAGTCTCATGATGGAGACGTTACTGGGCCCGCTCGAGCAAATCAATGAACAACAGGAGTGACCGTGATTTATTTATTGAATCACCGTGAGAAGTTACAAAGCTTTCAGGCTTAAGTCTCAGTCATACATTGATCAAACACCCATCCCTTCACCAGTGCATATTTTCCACCACCAGAAACCCCAATATACCCCCATGCCACCCTTCCCCGTGTCTGTGAGGCAGATGATTTCCACTTAACTCTCTCTCTACTTTGATTACATTCATTATTTTGACAAAAGATGCAGCATTATTTCAAATTTTCCCCCAACAATCAAACCTGCTGAAAAGACATCATGAAATAATTTGTTTTCTGTTTCTGATTATGAAGACCATATGATGTTGAAGGTTATGACAGATTTCTGATATTTTACTAATTAAGTCTGGAGGGATTTCTTCCAAAAGCCAAATAATTCCGAGATTGGCTTGTGTGCCTCTGGGTCCATGGCCGTGCCAGAGAGCTGCTTGTTGGGGGCAACTTGTGGTCTTGGCAGGGCTAGAAGGATGTGCCAGTTCCGCCCCCCATCCCATGAGGCTACAGTTGCCCCATCACCGCGGGCTCATACCTGGCTGTCTAATAAGCTCTGAGGCTGCAGCCACCATGCCACAGAGGGGGGTGGGGGTGGGCGGAAATGGCAGAAGACACAGACACCCTTTCCCTCCCGGGGCGTCAGAGCGCCCTAGCTTAATGTATAGTCCATTCACATTTCTGCCAGAAGCTGCTGGGTTCCGAATTATGTCCATGTGCCTCTGGGGCCATGGCAGTGCTGTAGAGCTGCTTGTGGGGGGCATCTCGTGGTCTCAGCAGGGCCTACTTAAATTTGTTTTTAAATGAGATTTTCTATGTATTGTAGAAAACCTGGAACCTGATCACTTCGGCAGGCTTGAAGCTAAAACCTCTATCTTACGAAACGTGAATAACCAAATTCTTATCATGAGTCAGGGAGATGAAGCTGTGTTTGAAGACATGCCTGATCTTGACTGTCAAGGTACTATCTGTATGTATATTTATATACATAAACATGTAGATATATTTGCAAGCACAGAAATGACAAGCTACAGTTTCTACATTTTTCTGATTGTCCTAATCCTTAGGCATGCGGGTCCCGGGGCTGAGATCTCCAAGCCTACTCGGATCAGAACTGAGCATCCTCCACCCAGATCCTCCAAATTCCAGTAGGCGGGGGTCACACCCACCAACTGGCCCCCTGGCGCCGTGTAATCCCATCAACGGCCAAGACTCAGAGACTATAAAACCCAGCTCCCGGAAGCACGCGGCCACATTCATGGCTGTGCAACATCTTATTATCTCATTCCTACTTTGGACAAACTGGCAGGCTACCGAATGCAACCTCCCCACACGGCAGAGTCTGGCAAACTCCCCGTGGCGTACCCAATATGCCAAATACCAGTAACAATGTTGGGTCTCATTCTCCTAACTCTGAAAGAGCCTTGAATATGGCACTTTTTTAAAAATCTCAGGGCTAGGACAAAGGAGACGTTACTGGGGCCTGCTCGAGGCAACCAACGAATAACAGGATGGTTGTGATCGTGATCGTGACCTAATCCTTAGATAAAGTCAGCACTGTAGCGCTGTCCTCCTGTTGCTCATCAATTTGCTTGAGTGGGCCCAGTAGTGTCTCCATTGTGAGACTTGTTGTTACTGTGTTTGGCATATCGTATACGTCATGGGTAGCTTGCCAGGCTTTGCCAGGTGGGCGAGATAATCTTACTTTATAAGGAACTTTATAGGATGCCCTTATTTTTTAGTTGTGGAAAAGTGATACAGTAGGAGGTAAGAAAACAGCTCAAAGAATGAGCCCAGGGTTCAGTCCCTGGCACTGCATGACCACCCAAGAATCTCCCTTGTAAGACACTTCCCCCCCAAAAAAGTGATGCAAAAAGATATCGCCGGGTTCCTGCCACTCTGAGCCTACACAAGGGTCACCTACTCCTAAACTGCCTCTGTATCTTTATAAAATTGGATCCCTGGTCCCTACAGCTATAACCAAAAATGTTGATAACAGTTTCAAAATTAAAAATAAATCTACAAGCATACCAATTGATCTCTTCCGCCAGAAATTTTGAGTACCTTAGAAATGAATAAGCTTACTGTGATTTCCAAGATATGAATCTCAAATATCATAAATCCAATAAAAGTTAAAACAATATGCCTTACGTGAAAAATACTGAATTTTTACCTTAAGAGATTCCCCCCCCCCCCCCGATATTATCCATGGTGGTGGAAAATGGGCACTGGTGGAGGGATGGGTATCTGATCATTGTATAATCGAAACCCAAGCACAAAAAATTGTAAATCTACAACTGTACCTCATGGTGTTTCACTAATAAAAAAAAAATTTTTTTTTAAAAAAAGAGATTTCCCCCCCCTAAGGGGGGGAGGGGGAGACAGAGAGGGGAATGGTCTTTGGGCCACAAGCAACATCTTATCCATTGCAGTTTTCTCTGTGCCTTCTTAACCGTGTTTTTAATACTTTGTTTAATATTTAAGAGTTAAAAGCAGTCTCTTAGAATTCAGAATATCTCTAAAATACCTAAAAGTTGCTGAGTTTATGTTGTAATACACATTTAAATGTGTTTGTTTCTTATTTTATTTTTTTGTTTTTGAGCCACACTTAGTGACCAGGGCTTACTCCTGGATCTAAGCTCAGAGTCATGCCTAGCAGGGTTCAGGGGATCATATGGGGTGCCTGGGATCAAACCCAGGTCAGCTGTATGCAGGGCCAGTGCCCTGCCCACTATACTATCGCTAACAGAATCTCAGTGTGGGGTAGAAGTCTATTAAAAGCTATCCTTTGATAATTTCTATAAATAATGATTTTTAATAATTCTAATGGTATTCTCGTTTACAAATATTTATTACAGAAAATGAATCGCAGATCACATTTATCATATTTAACTATAAAGATAGCATCAGCAGACGTCACGCAGTAACCATCTCCGTGAGGCATAAGAGACTATGTACTCTCTCCTGCAAAGACAAAATTATTTCCTTTAAGGTAAGACTGAATCTTAGCTTTTTTGTTATATTTATATGAAAATCAGAAAACTCGATTATCCTGCATCCAAGCTTTTGCCAGAACAGAGTAACAAGAAGAAGAGAACATTTAAAGTGGATAATACTAAAATTTATCAAACTTCTTTTATTGTAGTAACACTGAGTTCTTCATGAACTTCCATAGAGAGGAAGGAACACACTTTTTCACAAAACTGGATTTTTTGAATAATAAATCTGTAGGTAAATAGCAAAACATAATATATATATGGGGTCAGAGTGATAGCACATTGGGTAGAGCGTTTGCCTTGCACACAGCCAACCTGGGCTCGATTCCTATGTACCTCTTGGAGGACCCAGCAAGCTACCGAGAGTATCCCGCCTGCACAGCAGATCCTGGCAAGCTACCTGTGACATATTCGATATGCCAAAAACAGTAAAAAGTCTCACAATAGAGACGTTCCTGATTGCCTGCTCAAGCAAATCAATGAACAATGGGAGGACAGTGGACAGTGACCGTGATATATATATATATATATATATATATCACAGCAGGTAGGTCTTTTGCCTTGCACGAGGCTGACCTGGCCAACCCAGTTTCAATTCCTCCGCCCTTCTCGGAGAGCCCGGCAAGCTACCGAGAGTATCTCGCCCGCATGGCAAAGCCTGGCAAGCTATCCATGACATATTCAATATGCCAAACACAGTAACAAGTGTCACAATAGAGATGTTAGTGAACCTGCTCAAGCAAATCTATGGACAATGGGGAGGACAGTGACAGTGACAGTGACAGTGAGATATATATATATATATATGCAAATGGTCATATTTAAGAATTACATGTAGGGCCCTCGATGGTGGTTAAGTGGCATAAAGTGCCCAGGATTAGGGGCCTGGGGATGAGACTAAGAAGTGGGATACTTGTCTTATATGTGTAAGACCTTGGGTTTGACAGCTGGCACCACCAAAAATATGAAATAATGATGAATTAAATAAAATAAAGTGCCTAGGATACGTATAAGGCCTAGAACTTAATCCCCATGCTAGAGCATGTGCCAAGGCAACCCTTGACAGCCCACTGACAGCAAGAAGGGAAAACAGATGCATGTGACTTTGCACCATAAGTTCTGCTAAACAAAAAGAAGCTAATTCGGATTATTCATAACAAGCAATGGGCTGGAGCGATAGTACAGAGGTAGGGCGTTTGCCTTGCACGCGGACGACATGGCCGAGCCGAGTTCGATTCCTCCACCTCTCTCGGAGAGCCCGGCAAGCTATCGAGAGTATCTCGCCTGCACGGCAAAGCCTGGCAAGCTACCTGTGATGTATTCGATATGCCAAACACAGTAACAACAAGTCTCCCAATGGAGACGTTACTGGGCCCGCTCGAGCAAATCGATGAGCAACGGGAGGACAGTAACAGTGACAGTGACTATAACAAGCAATACAAAATAAATTATTAAGGTCAGGCTTTGGGGGCAGGCTTTGGGGGTCAGGGTGGAAACATTCAAAATATGGTGATGGGAAGGTGTAATGATGGTGGGATTGGTGTTGGAATATTAAATGTAATCAATTATTGTGAACAACTTTATAAAAATTAATACAATTTTTAGAAAAGAAGTTAACTGACCCTTGATAAGCCCTCTACTTTGTAAATTATAACATTTTAATTCCTAATTGTTTTCTTCCTGCTTCTTTGCCCAAGAATAGCCTTCAGCTTTCAGATGATGAATGCTAATGCTATTTCTTTTCTTTTTTTTTTCTTTCTTTCTGTCTTTTTTTGTTTGTTTTTGTGGTGGTGTCAGAGCCTCACACATTCAAGGCATGCTCTCTACTGCTGAGTCACATTCACAGTTTCAAATGATGTATGTCATTTCTTTTTCTTTCTTTTTGCTTTCCCCAGTGGTGCTTGGGATTTACTCTAAGCTCTGGGCTCAGTGATGCTGGGATCAAAATGGAAAGATGCATGCAAGGAAAGTGCCTTAACCCCTGTACTATTTGTCTGACTTCTGTATGTCATTTTTTTTCTGTTTTCCTGGGAATTTTTTGAGAGGGGCTACATTCAGAGGTGTTCAGGACTTACCCCTGCCTCTGTGCTCACGGGTCACCCTTGTGGTATTCAGAAAACCATAATGTGGTGCCAGAGATTGAGCCAGGGTCAGCTGTGTGCAAGTCATTACCTGCTGAGTTATCTCTTAAGCCCCATCATTTAATTATTTTTTTGGCTTTTTGGGTCACACCTGGTGATGCACAGGGGTTATTCCTGGCTCTGCACTCAGGAATTACACCTGGCGGTACTCAGGGGACCATATGGGATGCTGGGAATCAAACCCTGGTTGGGCGCGTGCAAGGCAAACGCCCTACCCGCTGTGCTATTGCTCCAGCCCCAAGCCCCATCATTTCTAATGCTAACCTAAGTGAACAAAATTAACAACGTGAGCTATAAAGTCAGTGGTCTACTACATCCGAAAGGCAGACATAAATCCTTTTTTGTCTCAAAAAATTAATTTGGGTCTCACTAGTTTTTTTTTCTCTCTTCTCCACAATTTTCTCCATTTCCCCCCAATATTCTTGCTGATTATTACTAGGTAGATAGCCACTAATATAGTTACAGATTAGCCTAGAAAATTTTCCTCCAAACAAGAGAAGTCAGTGGGGATGCTCACAAAAATGCCTCAAGAAATTCCATTTTGTGAAGACTTTGGGGATTTGCCAATAAAGAACTGTCGACTGTCCCCACTGAAAGTTAGGGTATAACCTCCGTGGATGTGCCAGGGAGCAGCTAGGGAAGAAGAAAAAGCAACTCACAAATATAATCCAAATAAAATCAGTGTCTGTACCTTCAGACAAATCCCTTCACCAGCCCCTTCCAAGCAGAAGACTACCCCTGGCCATCTGGAGACCTCACTCTGACCTGAAAGACAGGAATATAAATTATTCTGAGGGCTTGTAAAGGTTTGGGGGGGTGAAAAGGAGGAAGAAAATTAAGCATACTGTTATTTAGCAACAAAATCGAAAGGGAAGGAGGCAGATGATTAAACTCAAACCGTGTCAGGCAGAGAAGAGCTAATTCAGCTGCAGAGTCAGATTCAGAAATCACATGTTGATTTTTTGTGGGAGAGCCCCAGGAAAGTGCAGAGAAGATAGTAACTATGTTTAGCATAAAGTAGAAATTGGGGAAACACCTGAAGCTTTTACAATTGGCAAACTCTTTTAAAAAGAGAATATAAGGGGCTGAAGCAATAGAACAGCAGGTAGGGCGTTTGCCTTGCACGCGGCAGACCTGGGTTCGATTCCCAGTATCCCATATGGTCCCCTGAGCACCGCCAGGAGCAATTCCTGCGTGCAGAGCCAGGAGTAACCCTTGCGCATCGCCGGGTGTGACCTAAAAAGCAAAAAATATATATATATAATAGTAACGACTGCATATAGTTATCATTTATTTACTCACATAACTTGTCAATCTGTAGCACTGTAGCACTGTCTTTCCATTGTTCATTGATTTGCTCCAGCAGGCACCAGTAAAGTCTCCATTGTGAGACTTGTTACTGTTTTTGGCATATCGAATATGCCACAGAGAGCTTGCCAGGCTCTGCCGTGTGGGCGGGATACTCTCAATCGCTTCCTGGGCTCTCAAGAGGGACGGAGGAATCAAACCCAGGTCAGCCACATGCAAGGTAAATGAACTACCTGCTGTGCTATCGCGCCAGTCAAACTAGTATACCTTAAATTTATAATATATATTTATAAATTATAATTTATAAGTTTAAACTTATAATTTATCAAAATCATAAATTTGGTTATTTATGGCCCTCACATATTATATAGTCCATCTGGAAAAAGTAGGCCTAATGCAGTAGTGGTAAAGACAAACAACCCTGACAGATGACCACCTGGAATACAGTTTTAAGTGATTTAACGTTTCCTCAGAAAACCCTATTCTGTGACTGAAAGGTCCAGGAAACATTTGGTCTGCTAAGGCAGTGATCTATAATCATCAGTCCACAGACTGCTGGTGTGCAGGTATAGGAAGGTTGAAAACCAATAGTTTCCCACAGTGGTTAGAACTGCCAATCCATGGATAGAATGCAGGTACATGTCAGCCTATGGGAGTGAAAATGTTGAAGGAAGGGGCCAGAGTGATAGTACAATGGGTAGGGCGTTTGCCTTGCATGCAGCGGATCCAGGTTCAATCCCTGGCATCCCACATGGTCCCTCAAGCCCCAACAGGAGTAATTCCTGAGTGCAGAGTCAGGAGTAACCCCTGAGCATTGCTGGCTGTCACCACCCCCCCCAAAAAAAAATAAGCAAAACAAAACAAAAATGTTGAAGGGCAAGTTCAGTCAACAGAATACTGTCAGTACAGAATGTTAAAACAGCTAGCTGGAATACTTGGTAGGGAGACAGAATCAAGAGTTACTGACTAAATGGGCCTATGCAAGAACCTAGGACCCAGCCTGAAAACAAACTTACAAAAAGCAAGTTTGGTTCCAGACTCAATGGAAGAAGGAGTTGAGATTCTTGTCATTCCCCGTCTCTCCAAGAGCTGGCTCATGAACTAGAACTGCCTGGCCCTATGGGTGGAGGTGATCAGTGTCTTTTGAAATGTTGGAGAAGACGGGAAATAAAATTAACCCCAAAAGGCTAGGTCTTCGCTGGAACTCTACTTCATCTGTAGTAGATAGGCTGTGTGTTTTTGTTGGGGAAGGACCTCGCGGATTGATCAAATAGAAACGCCACCCAACTGAGGAAAAGGAAGTAATCTGAGGAGAAAGTCCAGATGTCTACTCCTGAATGTGAATTCCGTGGTAGGAAAAGCCAGAATGAAAAGGGAGGATGATAGATTAAGAATTAACAAGGAGGAGGGGGCTGGAGCAATAGCACAGCGGGTAGGGTGTTTGCCTTGTACGCGGCCGACCTAGGTTCGATTCCCAGCATCCCATATGGTCCCCGACCACCACCAGGAGTAATTCCTGAGTGCATGAACCAGGAGTGACTCCTGTGCATCGCCGGATGTGGCCCAAAAAGCAAAAAAAGAGAATTAACAGGAGGGCTGAAGAGATAGAACAGTGGATAAGTGCTTGCTTAGCATGCAGCCGACCCACGTTTGATCCCTGGCACCCCATGTGTTCCCACACCCACCAGGAGTCCAGGAGTGATCCCTGAGCATCCAAGACTCAGCCCTGATCATTTCTGGGGATGGCCAAAAAAAAAAAAAGAATTAAGAGGGAAAGGTAATTGGTATAATATTTGGAGATCTTTTTTCTTAACTCTTGTGAATATTTAGGATTGTATAATATACTTCAAATAAAGTTAATATATTCAGATAATGTCCTTTTTCTATATAGGAAATTGATCCTCCTGCTGCTATAAATGATGAAAAAAGTGACATCATATTCTTTGTGAATAGAATTACAGGATATATTAATAAAATAGAATTTGAGTCTTCATTGTACAAAGGACACTTTCTTGCTTGTGAGAGAGAAGATGGCCTTTTCAAACTCATCTTGAAAGAAAAGAATAAAGGTTCAAATGTCGCTGTGCGTGAAATAAAGGATAGATCTGTAATTTTCACTATTGAAGACAATATAAAATAAAACATGTGACAAGAAGCTTGGATGTAGTTTTGTGGTGGAGTACTTACCTGGCATGTGTGAGGTCCTGGGTTCAATTCCCATCAGTTCAAAATGAAATAAATAAGATAGGTGACAAGATTTATGGGCCTTTGCTTTTTTAGAAAGATTGTAAGACTGCACTTCTTTTGCATTATGGTCCCCAAAGTGACAACTAAGAAACAAATAAAGAACTTTCACAAAATTGACTTGATGCCCTCTAATCTGAGTGAATATTTTTATAATGTGAAAAAGAGAATGCATGTTTTGGAAACATTCTAAATTGTTAATCAGAACATTTGTTATATTCAATAAAAGTACTTTTCGTCTGTGGGTCCTATTGATAACAGATACTAGTACATAAATGTGTGGGGTTTTGTTTTGTTGGTTTTGAGGTTTCTTTGGGGGTTTTTTGAGAGTTTTTTTGTTTTGTTTGCTTGTTTGTTTTTGGTGTTTGAGCCTCACATGATGGTGCTCAAGCTGTACTTCTGCTCTGTACTCAGGGATCACTACTTGCAGTGTTTGGAGGATCATATGCAGTGCCAGGGATCTGAACTGAGATGAGCTGCATAGAAGACAAGATCAGCCCTTCCCTCTGTACTACCTTACAGGCCCCTACTTAATCACTTGATCACTTAACTTCCCGTTAGTCGTCGATTTGCTCGAGCGGGCACCAGTAACGTCTCCATTTGTCCCTGTCGCGTGCTAGTGTAGCCCAATGGCATCTGTTCGCTCCGGGAACATGAAGGGCCTCAAACCGATCGTTCATGATCTTGACGAAGAAGTCTGACCATCTGGTAGGTAGGTGGGCGGCCACGCGGTCTTTTGACATCCCGTGGAATCCAGTCGGTAACAGCTCTAGTCCAACGGTTGTCTTTAAATCTCATTACATGACCAGCCCATCTGATTTTCGACACCTTGGCAAATGAGACAGCGTCCCTGATTCTTGATCGTCGACGGATGTCAGAACTCCGAATTCTTTCTCTCATTTGAGTGAAACGTGATATTCCAAGCATAGCTCTTTCTATTCTTCTTTGGGAGACCTGAATGGCGTTCTCATCTTGTTTGCGTAGGGCCCAGGTCTCTGAGGCATATGTTAATGCAGGAAGAACACTGGAATCAAAGAGATGTGCCTGGAGCCGGAGGTTCTTCGTCCTCTTAGCTATTTCTTTGACGTTCTTGAAGGCGTTCCAAGCCGCTCTCTTCCTCCTGCGCAGCTCGGGTGCCAGGTCATTTGTCATGTTGACCTCTCGACCTAGGTACACATAGCTGTTGCATTCGGAGATGGTCGTTCCGTTGAGAGCGAATGGGGCGTCAGGAATGAGGCTGTTTCTCATAAACATTGTCTTCGTAAGATTCAGCTGTAGTCCTACCTTTCCACACTCACGGTCAAAGTCGGCCAGCATTTGTGCCGCTTGGCTGATGTTTGGTGTTATTAAAACAATGTCATCAGCAAAGCGGAGGTGGGGTAGTTGCCAACCATCTATCTTCACTACCATTCCTTCCCATTCCAGTCGTCACATGATGTTCTCGAGGGTGGCACTGAAGAGTTTCGGTGAAATGGTATCACCCTGCCGCACCCCTCTCTTGACATCAACAATCACTTCTTTGTAGAATGGTGAGATCCTGGTAGTGAATCCACAATACGGCTCATGGAGGATCCTGATGTATTGGGCTTGAATGCCCAATGCCCAGGCCCCTACATGATTTAATTTTTTTTGTTTTTTTGTTTTTGTTTTTTTTTGTAGCTTAGAGGCATTTTATTATAAAAATTTGAGCATACATAAACTAGTAAAGAAGTTCAAGTTCACTTCATTTTTTAGCTTGACCTTCTAGTAAATCTTTAGCTTTATTGATTTTGGCTGCTATATAGGGAGATCCGCATTTGTCTGGGTGATTTAAAAGCATAATTCGTCGATGGGCATCTCTTATTTTTCCTTTGTTGGCAGTAGGACTGACGCCTAGTATTAATGCAGCTTCCCGTTTTGTCATTTTGGCTTCAAATCCACCTCTATAATAGCCCCCACTGAAGGCAGATTTCGGCAGACTCTGGAAAACTTGCTTCACTTGGGGCTCCACGTGTTTCATGGCTTGCAGAACATAGTGGCCTGCGAATCCTGCCGCCGCAATGGTCAGTCCCACGGACGACCACGGTGCTGGCCATGACCCCCGCTCGGCTCCGGCTCCCTCGCTCTGCCGGCCGCGCGGCTCATGCCACCGGCCCCGCCGCCGCCGCCCGCCCGCCCGAACCCCTGATTTAATTTTTAAGGTTATAGTTAAAATAATAAAAGTTTATAGTTATGTGAGGAGAGAGAGCTTGGGCTATTCAAGGTGGTGCACAGGGTTTATACCTAGCTCTGTGCTCTGGAGTGACCATTGGTTGTGCTCAGGGGACCATGTGCTGTGCTGAGGGTTGAACCAGGGTTTACAATATGCAAAGAAAGTACCTTAACTCCTTTACTGTTTCTCTGGCTCAAAATCATAATTTTTTTTTGCTTTTGGAGGGTCACAGCCAGTGATGCTTAGGAGTTGCTCCTGGCTCTGCACTCAAGAATCACTCCTGGCAGTGCTTGGGCGGACCATATGGGATGCTGGGGATTGAACCTAGGTCAGCTACATGCAAGGCAAACATCCTACCCACTGGATTATCGCTCTGGCCCTTCAAAGTTATAAAGATTGGGCGGGGGAGGGTGGAGAAATAGTACAGCAGGAAGGGCACTTGCCTTGCATGTTGCTGACTGGGTTGGATTCTTGGCACCCCCTTATCAATTCCCCAAGCTCTACCAGGAGTGATCCCTGAGCACAGAGGAGTAAGCTCTGAGTAAGGCTGGGTGTGACCCAAAAACAAAAACAAACCATAAAGATTTTTAAAGAGAATTATTTACTTGACTAATATCTGTACTTCTTTCAAAGTCAGAATATCTCCCAAAATTTAGTCTTTTTGAAAAGTTAATTTAGTCAGAACCCAGCAATATATAAAAAGAATTATGTAGCCCATCCATGTCATATTCAATTAAAAAAAGCAAAGATGGCTTAAAATATCCTAAAATCAATGTCATATATTAATAGATTAAGGGATTAAAAAAAACACAGTTGACGGCAACCGCCTCGGAGCTTTATGGAAAGCCAGGTATGAGCCGCTCGTGACAGGGCAACTGAAACCTCATGGGAGGGGGGGCATTCCCAGCTCATCCTTCACACCCTACCAAGGTCATGAGTTGCCCCCCACGAGCGGCTCTCCGGCACGGCCATGACTCCAGAGCCATAGAAACCAATCTCATAATTATCTGACTCTCAGCAGAAATACTTCCAGGCTTAATAAGTAAAATACCAGAAATCCAAAATCACGTGGCCGCTATTGCGGCCACACGACATCATATGATTCTTGTAACCAGCTGTAGAAAACAAATTATTTCACAATGCCTTTTCAGCATGTCTGATTTAGGAGTGTAAACTCTAAATAATGGTGCATCTTTTGTCAAAACAATGAATCTAATCAAAATAGATAGAGTGTTAACTAGAATTCATCCACCTCACAGGCATTGGGAGGGTTGGGAGGGGGGTTATTGGGGTTCTTGGTGGTGAAAAATAAGTATTGGTGAAGGGAAATGTGTTGATGATTGCATGACCGAGACTTAAACCTGAAAGCTTTGTAACTTTTCCCACAGTGATTCAATAAATAAAAATTTAAAAAATTAAAAAATAAAAATAAAAAAACACAATCATCCCAATAAGATATTGAAAAATCATTTGATAAAATCAAGTATGTAGTAAAAAAATTGCAGCAGACTTGAAAAACAGTTTACCAAGGATATCCATGAAACAACCAACTGCCAGTGTGCCAAGGAGTGAATTGAAAGGGCAGAATGGACACTTTGTGTATTGGAGCCCCAAGTTCAATCACCAGCACCACTCAGTTCCCCAAACACAAAGTGGGGAATAATTTCTGAGCAACAGCAGATCTGGTCCAACCACCACCAAAAAAAGAAAAAGGAAAAAAAAAATAAAACTTCAAACTTAGTGGTGAAAAAATAATGAAAGAATAACAGCTCTTTTTTTTTTTGGCTTTTTGCTTTTTTGGGTCACACCTGGCGATGCACAGGGGTTACTCCTGGCTCTGTACTCAGCAATTACCCCTGGCGATGCTCAGGGGACCACATGGGATGCTGGAAAACAAACCCAGGTCGGTCACCTGCAAAGCAAACGCCCTATCCGCTGTTCTATTGTTCCAGCCCCAAGAATAGCAGCTTTGGCAATTTCCATTCAACATTACACTACGGGTGCTAACCAGTCAATAAGAGAAGAAATAAAAGGCATCCATATGTGATGTAAGAGGTAAAATTGTTTTTTATTTCAATTTTTAATTGAATCACTGTGATAAATACAGTTACAAAGTTGTTTATAATTGAGATTCAATCACACAATGTTCCAGCACCCATTCCCTTTACCAGTGCGCCTTTCCTACCACCAATGTCCCCAGTTTTCCTCCCACCTGCCTCTCCCTGTAAAGTTATTGTTTTTACAGACAATGTGATTTTATATATATACTACAGATACGGGCTGGAGCGATAGCACAGCGGGTAGGGCGTCTGCCTTGCACGCAGCCAACACGGCCGACCCGAGTTCGATTCCTCCGCCCCTCTCGGAGAGCCCGGCAAGCTACCGAGAGTATTCGATATGCCAGACACAGTAACAACAAAGTCTCCAATGGAGACGTTACTACAGATACTGGAGCGATAGCACAGCAGGTAGAGCGTTTGCCTTGCACGCAGCCAACCCGGCCGACCCGGGTTCGATTCCTCCCCCTCCTCTCGGAGAGCCCGGCAAACTACCAAGAGTATCTCACCCACATGGCTAAGCCTGGCAAGCTACCTGTGATGTGTGCAATATGTCAAACACTGTAACAACAAGTCTCACAATGGAGACGTTACTGGGCCCACTCGAGCAAATCGATGAACAACAGGAGAACAGTGCTACAGTGCAGT